CTGGGAAGTGGATGGATTGAGTTTTCTCCTCTCTATACACATTCCTCAAACTTCTCTAGATGTCTTGAAGATTTTCCTCCCCATCACTAAAGCTATAATTGTCACAGCTAGTGTCACCAGAATTGCTGTTGCTAAGCTAGATGGTTGTTGAGTGAGTCATCCCTGGTTTTACAACCATTTTTGTTGCGGTTGTAGTTGTTAATCAGTTCCCATGGTCCTTAAACAAATCCAGATTCCTCCATTGACTTTATTTCTTGGAAAAAAAGCTTCCAGTGGGAAGGTTGCAAATGGTGATAATTTTATCCAGGATTCTGCCACCATCATCAACACACGCTGGTTGTCAAGCGCTCAAATATTTATTATTTGGCTGTGGGGATGCTGTGACTGTTGTAAGTGCGAGGACTGGTTACAAGTCTCTTTTTTCACTGCTGTTGTGACTTTGAATGGCCACTAAACATAAATAGTTGTAAGTTGACGACTGCCAGTGTTTTCTTCCTGATTGTCAACTAACAATTGGTGTTCCAGGATGAAAATCCTGGATGGTAAGAGAGAAGAAAAAGTATTCTGTTTTAGATAAAGAAAATAAGATCATATGTAAATACAGGGTGGGGGGATTGTTCCACTGATGGCGATAAATTAGTCTGTGAGCTCTGCTGAAATTTCTTGTTTCCCAGGACTTACAAATGCTTCAGAAACATCTGCTGCATTGTGCAAGGACTGACTTTCCCAATAAATTATATTTATGAAAAGCAAATCCCTTTGAGCTGCTCCTGAGATGGATTAAATGTCAGATGCATACTGTTATTCATGTAGGTGAAAAACCTGGTATGATTGAGGGGCCCTGATCTGATCTCTACCTAATACCTTGTTCTGTTCATTCCCAAATTGCTATAAACTATCATTGGTTATGAAGTGGAGCAGAGTGTTCCATTTCTGAATAGTTCCTTGTTGTAGAGCAGAAAAAAATCCACTTTAAGGAAATAGCTTTTATGAGCAATTAAGTGGTCCTCTTTTAACAGTGATGCAACCGGTTTATAAAGGATTTCTAACATTCCTTTGTTTCCCCTTTTCTCTCTATTGCTTTTAAAATATACTTGAAGGCATTTGAAGCATTCCGCAGAAAATTAGTTTTCACAAAATTGGGAATTAGTCTAAAAACTACTATTGCCTTTTATATGTTTTGTAAAGCAGGAATACAGTAATTCAATATTATTTAATTCCTTCCTACTTAGTGTGGCGAGAGAAATGTAAATTGCAAGAGCAGGTTGAAAGAACATCGTGTCGAAGCGGCTGTTTATGGCGAAAAGAGGGCTGTGTTATCCTTTTAGGAATAGATCATGCTTGTAACTAGGTAGCTCTCTTGTTCTGCCATGAACCATATTTCACCAGCCTGTTAAGCATGTCATCTGACGGGACTTAGGAACGATGCCTTCTTACTCGCTTCCTTCCTGACATACTTATTTATATCTCACATTTATTATTTTTATAAATAGCACAAGGCAGCAAACACACACAATATTCCTTTGTCCTATTTCCCCCCATTACAATAACCCTGCCAGGTGGGTTGGGCCGACAGAGAAGGACTGCACTAAAGTCATTTAGCCTGCTTTCATCCCTAAGATGGGACTAGAACTCACGTCTCCTGGTGATTAGCCCAAAGTCACTTACAGTAGATGGCTATCATGGCTAAGACTGAACTAGAGCTCACCGTCTCCTGGTAATTGGCCCAAAGTCCCCTGGATGACTTTCATGTCTAAAGTGGGACTAGAATTCATTGTTCTGCTAGCTTCTAGTCTGGTACCTTAACCACTAGGCCAGTGATGGCGAACCTTTTAGAGACCGAGTGCTCAAACTGCAACCCAAAACCCACTTATGCATCGTCAGGTGCCGGGTGGGTGTGGCCCATTGGCTGGGTGTGGCGCATTGGCTGGGTGTGGCCCAATGGGTGGGCGTGGCTGCAGTGGTAACGGCAAACTGGATGGGACTAAAAAGTTCAATCAATCAATTCCAACTTTGCAAGATCTTTTTTTTTCCCGTGAGAAGTTGAAATTGACTGATTGATTGAACCTATTTTTTTTTTTTGCACATGGCAGCGGAGGCCTAAAGCGAAAAGGTTTTATAAAACTCAGCTGAAGGCCTAGGACTGGGGCGACGGCGCACGTGCTCACAGAGAGGGCTCTGAGTGCCGCCTCTGGCACCTGTGCCATAGATTCGCCACCACTGCACTAGGCCATACTGGCTCTTTGTTGCATTCTCTGTCACAGCAGCTGCTTTCTGAAACACCCATTCTCCCAATATATCTGGGCCCCACCCAGTTTGTGTTCAAAAGACATTGAAACTATAGTTCTTTCCCTTTATAGAGTGGTTGATGGTCCTCTCTATTTGATTCTTTTCATAGTGGTTGTTCTTCTAGCATTTGCCTGGTCCTCCTCCTCCTCCTCCTCCATCATCATTGTAGAATTTTTTTTATTGTACCCACCAAGGAAATTTTCTAATACCAAGAAATGGTGTATTTTGGCACAGTGGTTAGAATGCAGTTTTGCAGGCTAATTTAGCTCAGTGTCAGGAGTTCGATCCTCACTGGCTCAAGGTCGACTCAGCCTTCCATCCTTCCCAGGTCATTAAAGTGAGTACCCAGATTGTTGGGGGCAAGATGCTGACTCTGTAAACAGCTTATGGAAGGCTGCAAAGCACTATATAAGTCTAAGTGCTATTGCTATTGCTATTTTGCCTCAAGCTGGTTTCAATATTTACATCTTTGCCTACTCATGGACATACATATATGTATCGTTCATTTCCACCCGAGGTCTATCGTAGAAATATGTATATGGATTCACTACAGTTCTCTTAGATAGTTTTTATTTAAACATTTCACTGAATAGGAAACTTTAATACTTTATACAGCGTAGTCCTCACTAAGTGGTGTTTGGTGTACTTAGCTTAATAATAAATGCATGTAGACAAATTACATTCATGTAAAGTTATGTGGCCTTAATCTGTGATGACATTTTATTTGATTAGTCAATCCACTAATGGGTATAAGAAAATCACCGTCTATCTTTTGTTATTTGAAGTTGGCTTTGTAATCTTGTATGGATAAAAGAAGTAACATGGCGGACTGGTCTTCTATGACCGTTTCAGTATCTGCGCGTTCCGTGTTTTAAAGTTGCCAAAACTTCATTCTGAAGTTCTCAGAATAAAATAAATTGAAATTAAAAATGCCAGTGATTAATGGGCAAATACAGTTTAAAATGCCAGTGATTAACAAAATGAAAAACTTCAAATAGCTTCCCCGAATGCCACGGACTTTTTAAACACCTTTACAGCCTAAATTGTTGTTGTTGTTAGTTGCGAAGTTGTGTCCGACCCATCGCGGCCCCATGGACAACGTTCCTCCAGGTCTTCCTGTCCTCTACCATCTTCTGGAGTCCATTTAAGTTCACGCCTACTGCTTCAGTGACTCCATCCAGCCACCTCATTCTCTGTCGTCCCCTTCTTCTCTTGCCCTCCATCTTTCCCAGCATTAGGCTCTTCTCCAGTGAGTCCTTCCTTCTCATTAAGTGGCCAAAGTATTTGAGTTTCAACTTCAGGATCCGGCCTTCTAAAGAGCAGTCGGGGTTGATCTCCTCTAGGACTGACCGGTTTGATCGCCTTGCAGTCCAGGGGACTTGCAGGAGTCTTCTCCAGCACCAGAGTTCAAAGGCCTCCATTCTTTGTCGCTCAGCCTTTTTTTATGGTCCAACTTTCACAGCCATACATTGCAACTGAGAAAACCATGGCCTTGACTATACGCACTTTTGTTGGCAGGGTGATGTCTCTGCTTTTTAGTATGCTGTCTAAAATATCTGCCTATTTATTTCTGAACAGTTGAGTTTGCTTTTTATGGACTTACTCACAATTTCCCTATCAGAGTAAACAAATTCTAGTAAAACTATGTCTGAGTGAATAATGACTAACAGGACAGGAGAGGAGAGAAATTAGAAGTATAAAGTGTGATTTTAATGTCTCAGGTTAATAGAAACAAAACTCTTGCTTGCAATTGCTTTCTTGGATAGTTAAATAAAACTGACAAGTAGAAGCAGATGCTTGTTTGTGGGTATTTATACCTTCATTAAAATGAAGAAAGCTCTCCGTTTGCACTGAAAAATAGTGGAACAAGCCTTCTTGTTATTAACTGTAAGGTTAAGCTGGTGTTGATAGCGCCACATTCACTAAATTTCTTAATATGTATTAATTCTGCTGCAAGATTTCCCAGCTTAATGGTCAGGGAATCTACAGATATGAAGAGGATAACAGCAGCTGCAAATTAGCACCTGTTTATTTGTCTGTGGTCCATGTTATATCAATAAGATTAAAGACTCTAGGTCAGTGGTGGCGAACCTATGGCACGGGTGCCAGAGGCGGCACTCAGAGCCCTCTCTGTGGGCACACGTGCTGTCTCCCCAGTCCTAGGCCTTCAGCTGGGTTTTATAAAACCTTTTTGCTTTAGGCCTCCATCGCCGTGTGCAAAAAAAAAAAAAGGTTCAATCAGTCAATTTCAACTTCTTGCGGGGAAAAAAAAAGATCTTGCAAAGTTGGAATTGATTGATTGAACTTTTTAGTCCCACCCAGTCTGCCGTTACCACCACAGCCACGGCCACCCAATGGGCCACACCCAGCCAATGGGCCACACCCAGCCGGACTCGACGATGCATAAGTGGGTTTTGGGTTGCACTTTGGGTACTCAGTCTCTAAAAGGTTCGCCATCACTGCTCTAGGTCTTAAAAAAAACAGAAGTGAGGGTGGGTGATATCAGTTTCACTCAACAGAACTTGGAGGCAAACTGGCCAATAACTCTGCATGAAATTAACAGCTTGCATTGCCCTGTCATACATGCCCTTAATCCAGTGCTTTTTATCATGCAAATGTAACCTTACCTTTGCTTCCCATATTCATTGTTTTCCCCAGTGTTACAGCCTTAATTTCAAAGCAATTAATTTGACTTTTTCTGCTATTCACAGAAGGGGACGAGACAGGAGTGATGGATAATCTGTTGGAAGCACTGCAGTCTGGGGAAGCGTTCAGGGATCGCAGAAAACGGATGCCAAGGCCTCAAGGTAGGATAAACAATTGAATTTGGGGCAGGGGCATGAAAATATAGCTGTTGTTTGAAAGCATAGGAGTGGGACACGGTTCTTGTGGGGAAGCCCTTTCTGAGTTTCAATGGAAGTATCTTTTGGTTTAGAAGTGAATTGCCAGCGGGACATCAGTGTGCAATCAGCGGATGTAATGGGATAATTATAATAACTGCCGCAGGAAAAACAACCAAAAGTTCAAGGAGCTCCTGTTTTGATTGATACCACTGTAAATGAACGTAAATAATGCTCCAGAGTTTGTGGCAAATCATTAAAAATGTTCAAAATAATTAAATTGAGTCAACCGCCATCCTCAGCCTATAAGAACGATCAATCTTCATTTTTCACGGGTAAATTTGTACCTTGTCCTTCAGACTATTAATTTTGTTAAACGCACGCTAATGAACATTCCTGGGTTGTTGTTGGTTTTTTTTTTAAGTGCTAAATGACGGCACATAGCAGGGTTTTCTTCTTCGGCCCCTCATGTACCATTATTCTGAGCTTGATTTGTGGGCCGCCATAGCTTGCTGTCTCATTGGAGTCTGCAAATGTGATTTAAATAAATCGTAATTTACTTGAAAGCCACCGTTTCCTTTTTAACAGACTGATCAGAAGCTTCTAAGTTTGGGCAGTGTGTAAAGGAAGGAGCAGATTCAATTTTGCATCTTGGGGTTGTGTGTGTGACATGTGCATGGTGACATCATGTTATTCCCTTACATACTTGCAATCCAACATCTGATGTAAATATGTACATAGTGGGGGTTACACTGTAGCATACATATCTATGTTTTATATGGAACAGAGATCAAAATGTTAAATACTGGAAAATTGTAAAGTAAAACCTTGCTCTCGGTCTCAGAGGATCTGATCTGAACGTGAATTATTATGTGAGTGGAGAATATGCTTACATCTTGTTTGCATTCATTTTCCTATTTTTAACAGCAATCTTGAAGGAGAAATCAGTAGACAAGTTCCTGAAAGGATACTGTAGAGTTATGTACTATCATCTTAATTATTTCAGAAGCTCATCATGATTAATTTGTGATGAAATTAGCAAAGGGAAAAAAAATCAATCAACAAAGACTGAATAGATAGTCCAAGGTATAACGGAAAATTTAAGACAAGAGGTTGTGTTTTCTCTAACTTGTTTACTGACTTAATGTCATTTGATAGTTTCAAATAAGGTTTCTTCAAATTCCCCAATCCCCCAATAAAGTAATTAGCTAGGAGGTGGTAATACTGATTCCATCCTAATGCACTAAAATGTCATTTAGTAGTTTGTGCATTTTGAAGATTACATGACCAAACCCAAAAGCTTAAACTAGATTGATGACCAAACCCAAAAGCTTAAGATAGGTAGATGGTGCCCATATGGAAATAGGAATGCCATTAAAAATGTTACATACCATGTGTCAACGCTGGAACAAGCAATATGTTCTTTAAGGAAACCTTTTGCCTTGGAGTTCTGTTTTTACTGGTCTTATCTATCGGAACCATGACATCATGTCTTTCATGTCCAAATTTCTCTATTGCATATCAACATAGGGTATATAAATATACCCCGTATCTGAAGCTCTTTAAAGCAACTGTGTCTTTTTGGGGGGTCACTTGGCTGCCTCCCACAGCATCTTTTGAAATCAAATTCAAAGTTCAGCACATTTCATTTCCCAATGAAAAGTTTGATGGATATGTGGAATTCAGAAGAACAATCTCTATCTTTTGTCTTTCCCCTAAAGTTTATAATATTTTGTTCATCTTTTCCCTAAAGTTCATAATATGGTTTTTTTTCATAAGAGGTAATGCTGTCTTCTGAATTTTTGGATATCTTCCTAAGTAGGTATAAGACTGGATCTACTACATAAAGCTGAAAGAATTGCAAGTTTTTGTATATACATCTAGCTTTCTATTATATGTCTGTGTTTGTGTGTGTGTAGAGAGAGACATTTATTTGAATTTGACCGTATGGCACATTTTTAACGAAATGTCTGCTTCAGCAGCAGTCAGATATTTATTTAATATTTTAATGATGGGAATGGATTTTATTTTTTACGAATGTGATGTTTGCATGGTATATTTGCACCACATGCACTTGAGATGAATCACATGTTCTACACATTTTTCACCTGTGACTGTTTTCCCTCCAACATACAGTATATGGCTGATGTTTTGGGCACAGGAAGAGTTTAATGTAAATTCTGCATTTTCCATAGACTTTTTAAAAGCAGTGATTTAGTGATTCAGTACATTAAAAATGTCAGTGTGTCCTAAAATGTCTGTGCTGCAATGCTGCATGTCCTGCTTCAGCTAAAACTATGAAAGGGACAAATTTTGAGAGGCATTCATCATACTTTCACCAA